ATATGCCAAGTTCAACTCAGTAAACACTTAATGAGTGGCTAAGGTGTGGCAGATAAGAATCAGGAGTGAAGCTGAATTGTTTAGGGCATATGAAATTGTGTTTGACTAACCCCCGTTCAGCAAAGGTTTGCTTACTCACAGTAAGCATCTACTATATGCCAGGCTCTGAGTGAGTCATTAGAGATGTCTCCAAGAAGATATTCGATACGAAAAAATTATGATATTGTGATTCATTTGTATCAAAGAGGCTGCTATGGTTTAAATGTGGTCTTCAAAATTCATGTGCTGGAAACTCAATCCTCAAAGCAGCAGTGCTGGGAAGTAGGGCCTGATAGGAGGTGTTTAGGTCATGAGGGCTCTGCCACATGAATGGATTCAGGCTGTCATAAAAAGGGCTTGTGGGAGGCTGGGCACGGTGGCTCACACCTGTAATACCCAGCACTTTGGGAGGCCGAGGCAGGTGGATGATGAGGTCAGGAGTTCAAGACCAGCCCGGCCAAGATGGTGAAACCCTGTCTCTACTGAAAATACAAAAAATTAGCCAGGCACAGTGGGAGGAGCCTGTAATCCCAGCTACTCCGGTGGCTAAGGGAGGAGAATCGCTCGAACCCAGGAGGCGGAGGTTGCAGTCACCTGAGACTGTACCACTGCACTCTAGCCTGGGTGACAGAGCAAGACTTTGTCTCAAAAAAAAAAAAAAGCTTGTGGAGAATGAGTTCTCTCTCTCTCTCTCTCTCTCTCTCTCCTCTTCTGCCATACGAAGACATGGTGTTCCTCCCTTTCAGAGGACGAAACATTCAAGGTGCCATCTTGGAAGCAGGGAGACTGGGTCGTAACCCAAAGGCATCTTGAGCTTGAACTTCCCAGCCTCCATAACTACGGGAAATAAATTTCTCCTTTTGTAAATAACCCAGTCTGCAGTATTTTGTTACAGCAGCACAAAATGGACTAAGTCAGAGATATACATGGGGACTGGGAGTAAATCAAAGACAGTGGTTAAGAAAGGCTCCCTGAGGATGTGGCGTGCAAGGCAAGACTGGAAGCAAGAATGGGAGCCTGCTGGAAGACTAGCAGAAGACAAGCCTGGAAAGGAAACTCCCGCCACAAGGACCAGTGTTTGAAAAGGTCAGGGGGCAAGAGAAAGAGGGAACTGACAGGGTTCTGTGGCTGAAACACAGATAACTGGTGTGGAACTTCAAAAGGCGGATGGAGGCCACATTGTAAAAACCTTTGACAGCTGCAGAAGAGATTTCAAGCCTCATTTCATGGACCAGAGACTTTTAACATGAGCCCCACAGGCCCTTGGGGCTTGAGATATGGTTTGTTCTAAACATAGACAAGCTCAGCTGTGGTGCAGCAGATGTTGGCTCCTCTAAAAGTGAGGGAAATGGCTCCTTCCACCCACTGGTCTGCTGGAGCTGGCTTAGACAGGCTCAGGAGCCAACCGTGTACATTTCTTCTTATCTGTGTGTTCAGTGACCTCACATTTGCTAGCTTGAAGTCAGCCACGGTGGGGATATTCACACCATGAAGGTTGGCAAACACAAGGAAGCAGGACTTCTCCCCTTATCCCCGAAACCCCCAAATAGTTGTGAAACATTTATCAGCACCACTCCTTCTGCCTCATGTTCCAACCCAAAGAGGAGGCTGGCTCTCCAGCGCCCACAGTTCCGCTCATGAGAGTTGAGAGGTCAGCACCGTGATCTTTGCAACCAGGAAGTGATTAAGACTGGGGAAGTGTGTTCTTGTTTGCCCTTAAGCAGGAAGAGACTGGGCAGCAGAAGTTTTAAAATCACAAGCTCTGAGGACAGACAGACTGAGCTCCGAATTGCAGCCCTGTCACTATAATTAGCTGTGTGACCTAAGCAAGGAATGTAACCGCTCTGAGTTTCATCTGTTAAAAGGGGATATTAATAATATCCACCTCATAGGGCTGTTGAGAAGATTAAATGCTATATGTAAACTGCAGTGCCACTATATAACAAAGACTCAATAAAGACTCGTACAACTAGCTGTTTAGGATAAAGAGATCTCAATAGAGATATATTGATTTTATTCCAGAATGGATTTATTGTCAGTATTTGAGATGCCTGAAAGAAATTGAAACAGTATACTAAGGATCTAAGTAGAGGTGAGGTCACTGTAACTGGCTGAGATTTTCTGACTGGCATCTATAGATGACTTTTTTTAAGGTTTTGAGAGATCCAACTTGGCCAGGCTCATGATCACAAGGCATCTGGATACACAATTTCCTAACTTGAAATGATGGGGGCAGGGAGAGAGGAACAAGAGAAGAAACATGTGAAAAACCATTATCAAAAAAAGAGCAGGTGTCAGTTTCAGACGCACAGCACAGGAGCCCATGGGTGGGGCAGGTGGCAAATGAAGACATTTCCGTGCCCGATGTTGAATCACTCCAAGCGCAGTGGGATTCTGGGTCTGAAAGAGTTTCACTTGCTGAGTGAAAATGAAAGTCACCATTTCAGGACCGGGTGTGGTGGCTCACGCCTATAATCCCAGCACTTTGGAAGGCCAAGACAGGTGGATCACCTGAGGTCAGGAGTTCAAGATTAGCCTGGCCAACATGGTGAAACTTGTCTCTACTAAAAATACAAAAATTAGCTGGGCATGGTGGTGCATGTCTGTAGCCCCAGCTACTTGGGAGGCTGAGGCAGGAGAATCACTTGAACCAGTAGGTAGAGGCCGCAGCGAGCCATGATTGTGCTACTGCACTCCAGCCTGGGTGACAGAGTGAGACTCTGTCTCAAAAAAAAAAAAAAAAAAAAAAAAAAAAAAAAAAAAAAAAAAAAGAATGAATGAATGAAAAAGAAAAGAAGGAAGGAAGGAGGAAAGAAAGAGAAAGAAAGAAAGAAAAGAGTAAGAAAAGAGTCAACATTTCAGAGATCACAAGATACAAACACTGACAGTGCCTGCTGTGGCTCTTCCATCCTCTTCCACCCTGTGCCTTTGAGGTCTGATTGCATCCTCTGTGAGTAGGGCTTTGTTAAGAGGTCCTGATTAAGGCTGAGCGTGGTGGTTCGTGCCTGTAATCCCAGCACTTCGGGAGGCTGAGGTGGGTAGATCACCTGATTGAGGGAATGTGTTCTCTTTCTGGGTCCACAAAGGGGCATAGTTTTAAGGGCAAGAACTTTCTAGTGCCATGCATGCCCCCCTTCCATCTTTCTCTATCCAAGAGATTTAACGGTTTATTTACAGGCCCGGAAAGAAACTAAAAGTTAATCACTCCAGCGGAAGTTTTAAGGAACTCCTTTCATTGGCCAGGGGACTTAGAAAAGGTGGGGGTTCCTCCCAGGTTAAAAGTCCCCTTCTTCCACACCCCTTCGGACTCCACGTTTGGGTTTCCTTCCACGAACACTCCCTTCGTGGAAGCCATCTTTCTCTCTCCTGGATTTCCCCTCTGGAGCCGCCTTCCACACTCTCTCGTGGAAGCCTGTCCTCCCCTCCTAAACTCCATCTCTCTCTAGTCCCTAACACTCTGGTGGAAGCTGCTTTTCTCTCCTGGATTCCATCTTTCTGGATTCTCTCACTCAGCGTGAGAGTTAGCTGTTTCTTTCTCTCTCCTCCTGTTTCTGTCTCTTTAAATAAATCATTTTCTACAAACACTTTTGAGTCCGGCATTTACTGCGCACTGTGCGTTGTGGTCCCCTTTCTCACTCTTGAGAGGACAGGAGGCCAAGAACCTGAAGAAACGTCCTCTCAGGGGAGCTGGGGGCACCCTGAACCCCTAAACCCCAATATTACAAGATCAGGGGTTCAAGACCAGCCTGGCTAACTTGGTGAAACCCCAGCTCTACAAAAAGATAAAAATTAGCCAGGCATGATGGTGAGTGCCTGTAATCCCAGCTACTTGGGAGGTTGAGGCAGGAAAATCGCTTGAACCCGGGAGGCAGGGTTGCAGTGAGCCAAGATCGTGCCATTGCACTCCAGCCTGGGTGACAGAGCTTCCATCTCAAAAAATAAAAATAAAAAAATTGATGCTAGTCCCAGAAGCATCTTGAAATTTCCAAAAGAAATTTCCCCTGTGGCAAAACTCAGAGCAACTTTTGTATCCACCAAGCTCTGTGAAAATCACCTTCTCTCCTAAAAACTGGTGGGATCAAAGCTGATCCCAGTTTTAAATAATTCTCAAAAAACTGGAAACTAAAATTTGATCAGAAAAGAAGAAACTTGAAAAAGAAAATCCTCATCACCCAAAGACAACAACCATTAATATTTTGGTAGTTATTATTCCAAATCTGTGTCTATGCGCGCACACACGCACACTCTCTCTTTTCATGGGCCCATGTTTTAGCCCGCGCTTTTCTGTTTCTCAGTGTGTTGCAAACACCTCGGTGTGGATACACACCATTCGGCAACAGCCTCCTAAAGGGTCGCAGCACATTGCGCGTCCTGGCGTGTGCCCCGTTTGGAAGCTACTACCGTTCGGGTGAACACCACAGGCTTCGGCGTCAGAAAGACAGCTTTCCCGGGAGCCAGCACCTTAGGCTCCGGGGCCTGCCGCTCCCCGAGAGAGAAGTCCGTGGGGAAGCGCAGCACCGACCCCGGGGATTCCCGGGGGCATTAGAGGAGATCACTTGTGTCAGGCGCTCAGCTCAGCAGCCGGCGCAGAAACGCGCTCGGATCCCGCCGACGGCATCTGACACCGCGTGGCCAAACCGGCCTTGAACTCTCCCTAGTCCTGCCAAATGGCCCATCCTGGAGCACTGGATTGACCGTGGGTTATTGATCATCAGCCCGTTTCCTCCCTCCCCCACCCTTCCCCCATGCCCGGGTTTACAGATTTTTTTTTTCCAGGAATTGAGTAAAACAAAACTAAGTGCAGACGAAGCGGAGGTACAGACGGGTTTCGAACGCGGGGGCCGGCGCGCTCCCTCCCCGCGGCGGGGCTGTCCCCGGGGCCCCCCCTAGTGAATCCCGGGCGGCGGGCCCGGCCCGCGGCTCTACGAGTCATTGGCTGCCGGCCGCGTCACCTGCCCGCGGTGGGCTAGGAGGCGGGAGGCTGGAGGCGGGAGGCGGGACCTGAGCCCGGGCGGGGACGCCGGGGCGGGGAGGCCATGGCGGGGCCCGGGCGCTGGGGCCCCCTGCTCCTGTGCCTGCTGCAGGCAGCTCCAGGTAAGGACGCGGGGCCGCGGGAGGGCAGGGGAAAGGGGGGCCAAGGGAGAGCGGGGGAAAGGGGGCCCCCGGGCCGGGCCGCACCGCGCCCACCCTCGGACCCGGAGCTCCCCGGACAGGGAGGGGGTCCGTAGCCGCCGGAGCCGGGTGCGAATCGGCCCTGCCCACGCGCTGCCAATTTCCTTCTCCCGGGGATTGAACGGAGCCGGGTCTTTGAAATTCCTTTCCCGCAGGAAACTAATCCAGTTTCCTAATTCTTCCAACTTCAGGAGAACTGGAAAAAAGACAGCGGCAATTTTAAAATCAACTGCATTTTTTTTTAAACGAAGTGCTTTTTAAGGTTTTCTAAAGAAAGCACTGATCCCTGCGTGAAAACCGCAATCGACCCTAAAGTGTGAGCAGTAGGGAAAGTGGGACGGATTGAGGTCCGCTCGGATTCCCGCCAGGCCTTCGGGTGGACGGAACTCTGGTTTCTCCTGTGCCCTGCTTTCTAACAAGACACTTTCTCTTTTTCATTTTTTTTTTCCTCTCTCTACTGGTAAGGTAGGCGTCGGGTACAAAATACCTCGCCCCAGTACCCAACCGGGAAACCTCACCTCCCACCACTCCAACCAAAGCAGGGAGGAGGAGGTCCAGAAATTGCCCCCAGGATGTTTTCCTAGCCTTGGACTCACAGTTTAAAGATCTGGTAACATCCCTGGGTGTAATCTAATTATCATAAAAGCCAGTATTCATTGAGCAACTTCATTGTGCCAGGCACCACATTATTCTAGAAGCTCACAACCCAGCTATCCTAGGAGGTAGATAATTATTCTCATTTTACCAATGGGAAAACTGAAGCTGGGAGCAATCCAGGGAATTGCCCAAGGAGGATGGCAGAGGTGAGGCACACAGAAGAGAGAGGACGGCTGAAGCGAGCCTGGCTAGCTTTGGTCTCCGGGATGGGCACCAGGGACAGGCTGTCCTTCCGCCAGGTCACTAGGCCAGCCAGGGATGCACCAGCCCCCAGTGCCCACAGCAGCGATCTCTGTGGCTGATGAGGGACAGCGTACCTATGTGTGGAGGGAGGGTGGGCCTTCTGTCCACATTTCACTGTCAAACCCAGTAGTTTCCTGCCTAGATCTGGTTGTGCTTTCACCTGACAAATACTTAATAGACACAACACTAACTATGGTGAGATGATTAGGGGAAGTACAGGCAGATCCAGGTTCCAATACCGGCTCCTACACAAACTGGCCCCGTAGCCTCGGGCAAGTTAGTTAGCATCTGTCTCTGAGCCTAGCGCCCCTTCCACGGAAGGGGAATGAATGACACCTACTCATAGGGTGGTCTGTCCCGAGGGTGATTGAGGTTTTGCAGGTAAAGAGCCAAACCAGTGCCTGGCATCCTTTCAAGGCTTCATAGAGGAAAGCTGCTGTTTTTCTGGTGTGACCTAGCTCAAATTTGAGGACTGTCCTGTCCATAGGATACCTTAGAAGTGGCTTGCAGGTAGCCTGGCCTGCTGGGTACCCATCAGGAAGTCCACAAGCTGGGAGTGGTAACAGCACTAGCATCGTGGTGATACAGTCCCAGCTAGAGGACACAGGATAAGGTGGAAGCAGGCACCCACTTTTGGGTCTAAAAGGTCAGAGGTACGCAACCGAAGCTGGGGAGAGCAGGCAGGAGAACTGGGCCCTCCCTGATGCTTTCTGCAACCTGTATGGATTTCCATCATGGCCCATGGGACACCTCAGGGCCCTGAATTCTCCATGACACCATGAGCTCCTGTAGGGCAGGAATGAAGCTGTGTTCCTCTTTGAAGTCCCTGGCACACCGTGGTCAACAGATCTTGTTTGACTAGTAGTGGTCAATAGATGGATTAGTTGGAATCATAAAGTTGAACCCATGAGAACCTAGAGGACAAAGTACTGTCAAGAGCTCGGTCTCTGGAGTAGGCTAGGCCCGGATTGAATTTGATTCTACAATTTAATAGCTGAGAGGGCCTTGGTTTTCCCACCTGTAGTGATTATAATTATTATAATGAACACCTACCTCCTAGGGATGTGGTGAGGATTAAAAGAGAAAGTGCAGGTAAAATGTTTAGCACGGAACCCGGCTCACAGCACAGTGCACATTAGCTGCTATTATTTATTTGTTTGTTTGTTTTGAGACATAGTCTCGCTTTGTCACCCAGGCTGGAGTGCAGTGGCGTGATATTGGCTCACTGCAACCTCCGCCTCCCAGGTTCAAGCTATTCTCGTGTCTCAGCTTCCCAAGTAGCTGAGATTACAGGTGTGCACCACTGCACCCAACTAATTTTTGTGTCTTTAGAAGAGATGGGGTTTCACCATGTTGGCCAGGCTGGTCTCGAACTCCTGACCTCAGGTGATCCGCCTGTCCCTGCCTCTCAATGTGCTGGGATTGCCGGCGCGAGCTACCATGCCCGGGCTTAGCTGCTATTTTTATCATCCTCATTGTCATCATCATCATCACCACCTCGCAGATATGTCAAGGAAGAATCCCTGGAGGAAGTGATATTTGAAACAAGTCTTTTTTTTGAGACAGAGTTTCGCTCTTGTTGCCCAGTCTGGAGTGCAATGGCACGATCTCAGCTCACCACCTCCTGGGTTCAAACGATTCTCCTGCCTCAGCCTCCTGAGTAGCTGGGATTACGGGCATGCACTACGATACCCAGCTAACTTTTAGTAGAGATGGAGTTTCTCCATGTTGGTCATCCTGGTCTCAAACTCTCAATGCTGATGATCTGCCCGCCTTGGCCTCCCAGAGTGCTGGGATTACAGACGTGAGCCACTGCGCCCAGCCTGAATCAAGTCTTTCAAAGATTAGATGGTGAACACCAGGAAGTTAAAGACACATGGGTTTAAAAACATCCAGAAGGATGCAGTGGCTTGGCAACTTCCAGAAGGAAGATAGCCTGGCGAGCCTGTAGGGTAGCTGTCAGGGAGAGAGCAGTGAGACGGTCTGGCCAGGCCAGGCCACGTCAGGCAGGGCCTCACACACTTCAATAAGGAGTGTGGACTTTATTCTGAGGCCAAGGAAAGGGCATGAAACTGGGGAGTGGTGTAATCAGATGCATATTTCAGAAGACCAGGATTGACAGTGACAAGGAAAATGTGCCACGGAGGGGGGTAGAGGTCAGTTAAAGGTGGTCAGGGAAAGTATCCTCGAGACAGTGACACCAAAGGAGTGTGAAAACAGCAAAGGAGTGAGCCAGGTAGATACCCAGGGGCAGAACTATTAAGACAGAGGGGACAGCATGAGGGAACAGTGTGTGCAAAGGCCTGGAGTCGGGAGTGTGGCTGGGGTGCTCCAGGAAGGGGAAAAAGGCCTGCGTGGACAGAGAAATGGGAGCAAGGGAGGAGTGGTGGGTCGGATTGGGTAGGACCTTGGTGATGATGGTAAAGACTTTGGAGTTTAGACCGGGCACAGTGGCTCAGGCCTGTAATCCCAGCACTTTGAGAGGCCAAGGTGGGTGGATCACCTGAGGTCAGAAGTTCAAGACCAGCCTGGCCAACATGGTGAAACCCTGTCTCTACTAAAGATTAAAAAAATTAGCCAGGTGTGGTGGCATGTGCCTGTAATCCCAGCTACTCTGGAGGCCGAGGCAGGAAAACCAATCGCTTGAACCCGGGAGGTGGAGGTTGCAGTGAGCCAAGATTGCACCACTGCACTCCAGCCTGGGCAGCAGAGTGAGACTGTCTCAAAATAAAATACAGTAAAAATAATAAAGACTTTGGAGTTTACCTGGAGCGAGATGGAAGCCTTTAGAGGGTGTAAGCAGAAGAGGGACATGATCTGATTTTCATTTTAACCCTTCCTCCTATGTGGAGAATGGACTGAAGGCAAGGTGTTTTGTAAATTTCTTTTTTTGAGACAGGGTCTTGCTCTATTGGCCAGGCTGAAGTGCAGTGGTGCAATCACGGCAGCCTTGAACTCCTGGGCTCAGTCGATACTCCCACCTCAGCCTCCTGAGTCTCACCATTATGCCCTGCTAATTTTTTTTTAAATGTATTTTGTAGAGATGGGGTCTCCCTGTCTTGCCCAGGCAAGTCTTAAATTCCTGGTCTCAAGTGATTCTCCCACCTCAGTCTCCCAAAGTGCTGGGATTACAGGTGTGAGCCACCATGCCCGAACTGTTTGTTTTTTAAAAAAGGAGAAAAAGGCTTTTAATAGTATGAGATGTTTTCTGGTGTTTCTACCATAAAGCTCTTCTGTAAATCAAAACGAGAACATAATTATCGACAGGGCAGTGATCTTGGACTACAGTGCAGACTTTCATTTTACATTTGGGCTCATGAATTTTAGTGTAACTGACTATGACAGTGTTTTTTACACAGTTATGATCTAGAGCAGAACTGAAAACAAAATCACACATACTCCACGTCAGTACACTCTTTCACCAATATATGGGCTTGGATGAACCTTCAGAAGTAGGTACACCTGTCAGATATTTTCTTAAACCAACAGAAAAAAGATGTACATGGCAGATATTGTATGTGTGTATGTATGTATTTATTTATTTATTTTTGAGCCGGAGTCTCGCTCTGTCATCCAGGCTGGAGTGCAGTAAGATGATCTTTGCTCACTATAACCACCACCTCCCGGGTTTAAGTGATTCTCCTGCCTCAGTCTCCTGAGTAGCTAGGATTAGAGGCACGTGCCACCATGCCCGACTAAATTTGTGTTTTTAGTAGAGACAGGGTTTCACCTTGTTGGTCAGGCTGGTCTCGAACTGCTGACCTCATGATCCGCCCGCCTCAGCTTCCCAAAGTGCTGGGACTACAGGCATGAGCCACCGTGCTCGGCCCGTATTTATTTTTTTACCACCATGGAGTCCAATGTGGAATTCTCATAACTATGCAAATACATTATTAACATGTAAGCACACTTAGATATAAATATGCACATAGTCCATTAATTAAATCGAGGGAATTAAAAACATACTTTTAAGTTAAAATGAATTTTCAGGGAAAAAAGCCATTCACAAATCTGAAAGTTGAATACAAAACTGAAATTGTGAAATAAATAGTGAATATAGGCGTCACCTAAACCTGCATAGTAGCATGCCTGCAAATGTGGATGCAGTGATCACCCACCTGGAGACAAGGGCTTTTGAGAGCCCCCAGCTAAATTCGCGTTCCAGTAGCAGAGCGGATGGCAAGCCTGCCCTAATGTACAATGCCGGGGAGCTGGGCAGGGTATTTACAGTGTGCCTTTCAGGGAATACTTTGATTTTTTTTTTTTTTTTTTTTTTTTTTTT